TTGAAATATATTAAACCTACAAAAAAACTCTTTCAGATTTAGAAAAATGGAGAGAGAGGGATAATACGACAGCTCCTGAGGAGAGAAATAACTAAAGAGTTGTTTCACAGCTGGCAACAAAGTCAGGGCAGACGTGCTGCCCCACAAGCTTTTGCCAGGGATACATAAACTAGAGCTAAGCATCTGTTGCACTATAGCTGCCACAGTCACACCAGCTGGAACTGACACAGACAGAAGCAGGAAATGGATCAACAAAGTTCACATTAGCAGCTCTGGATAGAAGAAGATGCCGAATGAGCACATCCTCCATGTATACTGTATATAGAGGCATCAGTGATAAGGAATTGAATGTGCTGAAGTTCCCTAGAGCAGTTAGGGAACAGCTCTGCACATATTATGAAAACTGTAAACTCAGCAGCCTACCTGTGGAGACAAGACAGAATATTTTAACATACAAAATGTTTTCTTTTCTTCTCCACATGAGATGGCAAATGAAAAGATGTAATTTCCCTTTCTTTTTTTTAGTGTAAGAGAAAAAATCTGTTGAATTCATGCTAAATCAAGCCCACAATGTGCTACAGTTGAAAAATATTCTGCACATGAGCATGCAGGATCGTGGTGGTTAATACCATTGCCTTTTATTTTACTTTGGATTGCATTGATAATCATACTATTTAATCAGCAGCATTTCAGATAAAAATCACAATCTCAGTACTCTTCAGACCCGTAGGACCCTGTCTGTTTATCCTCGTATTGCTTGCTAAAAAAACTTAAATTTTTTGGTGGGTCCGTACAGCTCTGCTATGCCAGTGTTTAATCACTTGGGAGCATATAACCATGGCTAAAATAATGGCTAAAAAAAAGACACCTAAAGGTGAGAAATTTCTGTGAATTTATAACTAATGCGCAGCACAGTGGCTAAATGGTTAGCACTTTCACCTGGCAGTACTATGGTCATTGGTTCAAATCTCAACCACGGCACCACCTGCCTGGAGTTTGCATGTTCTCCCTGTGCCTGCATGGGTTTCCTCTGGGTACTCTGGTTTCCTTCCACACTCCAAAGACATGCTGGGAGGTTAATTGTATCCTGTCTAAATTGGCCCTAGTATGTATATGTATGAATGTGACTTAGGGACTTTAGATTGGACAGCCCTTGAGGGTTAGAGACTGATGTGAATGTACAAATATATATGTATATTTAACCGCTGTGTATAACTGGTGGTGCTATATAAGTACCTGTCAAAAATACATTTCAAAACGCAATTACTGATTTCATTGTTGGTAAAATCTCACCAAAGCAAACACTCAGAATTACGCTTATTGATCTGCTTAGGCACAACTTTGTTGAAGCCCAACTCCAGTAAAAAAAAATAATTTAAATAGTGCATTTTGCATCAGGTACCTGCTCCACCATCTTAATTCCAAACACCTTTTTCTAAGCCATCCTACAGTGTAATGGATCAAAGGCAGTTTCTTCTATGAGCCAAACTAACTTCCTACACTGGGAACCAACAATTTTGCCCACTCATTATCTTCTTTGGCACTGGCCCCTTCACCACTTCTGTGAATTGTCCTGCCTTCAGAGCCTATGAGAGAAGTGTTGCCTCCACCAATAGGAATTGTCCACATCATGGAAGCAGTAAAATGGACTCATGAAGGAGGATGCCAGACAGTAAACAGAAAAGATAGAAGGAATGTCATGTCACAGTGGCTTCAGGTAAGTAAAATGGGCATTTGGATAGGTTTTTTATTCAGTGGCTAGTTAGAGTGGGTTGGGAGGGGGGTTGGTAATATCCTGGCGTTGGGTTTTATCCTGGAGTTGGGTATATATACATATTCCCCAGATATATGTTTTAGCTTACTCTTACAACTGTAAGCATCCTTACAGTTCTACACCTTTGAACCCACCTAAATCATGTAATAGTATTCACCCATTTGACGTGTGACTAGAGGAAGGAATAGGTGCAGATGTTCTACTTATTGATAATGATTTCATATTGATTTTAAGGCAGAATGCAGGTCAATGCACCCAAAATGCAGTATACAGGACTTCTTACAACACATTGAGGTGAACAAACCATGAAAACTGCTCTGAAAGGGTGTACAGCAGGCAAAATCAGGCACAAATGTCTGTCATATATAAAATACATTAGAGTAGATGTAACACAACTAGATAGAAACCACCTCTCAACCTGAAAGTCCACTTAGGTATGGTGCAAGTGTGCAGTGAGAAGTAGATATAAACCCAATCATAAAAATCCCATATAATCTTTAAAGTGATATGAAAGTCTTTTTTTTTTTTAAATAACAAACTTGGCATACTTACCTGCTCTGTGCAATGGTTTTGCACAGAGCAGCCCGGATCCGACTCTTCTCGGGTCCCCTTCCGGCGCTCCTGGCTCTGCCCTCCTGTAGGGCTCTCCCACAGCAAGCAGGTTGCTATGGAGTCACCCAAGCAGGCATGCTCCTGAGCTTCAGCTCTGCGTGTCCATTCACACACACCATCTCTCTCCTGATTGGCTCCCTTTCTGTGATTGACAGTAGCAGGAGCCATTGGTAAAAAAACCTTCAATCTTTACAACCACTTTAATATGTTCATGTAAATTTCAATCCATTTCATCTACAGTTTTCATTAAAAAAAATACCACGTAGTCCTGCCGTGAAAGTCTTTCTGCAAGCACTTCCTGTTCAGTTGTGATAGCGCACTGTCTTGGTTCCCTATGTTGTCACCCTGCCACATGCGCTTCTGGTGAAGAATATAAGAAGCCACGTTGATACTTACTGAGCTGGAATGTTCCACTCTTGTCACTATCAGAAAGCCCACCTTGACTAATGACATGCATCTGTTGCCTGAGTGCATGTAGACCTGAAGTGGCTACAAAAGACTACAGGAGATTAGTACCAATGAGATCCAGAAACAGATAGCAAAAAAAAAGAATAAAACAAGAATTTTCTGAAGGAGAAAAAATTTAGGGTTTACATTTTCTTTCATGATATTAATAATCAATACCTAACCAGATTTAAAAGGTTTTTTTCTATATTTGCCTGGTGATTACATCAATAAAAACCTCAAAATAAATGGAAATTGGAAATGAAAATACACAGGAAACTTTCTAAATTGACCTTTTCCTAAATCAATTAAATTTGATCATTGATAATGTAATGAAGTGTTTCCAGACCTGACTGGCCACTATTGACACCTGAAATGTTCTAGTTAATCACAAAACAATGAGACATGTTTCATATTGCTGCCTCAGCTGCAAAGAGTCCCAAGAGGACCATAACATGGATCCCTCAGTGACAGATAACAATCTTCCACATTTCCAGGGAACAGCTTCGGAGTAATAATTAGCAAAACATTCAACCACACTGATTATTTCCTATAGTATTCTGAAAAAATGAACTGGCTAACAAACATTGTAGTCCCTGGGATACAATTTGGAAAATGCTATTTTTTTCATAAATAATAACAGGGCTGCTGTTTGGCATTGGGTGGCTTAGGGGAAAGGTTTGTCTCATGTTTTCAGAAAGCAAATATTCGAGAAAAGGCAAAAAGAGTGTACTGTGGGCTTTATGAGGTTTCGTTTTGCAAGGTAAAGGTAAATCCCAGAATCTGAACCACTGTTGTACTACTTTATTATTTTAAATTGATCACAGACCAATTCTCCAGCCAGCATTTCTGACAAGTGGGTACATCATGTTTTGATGAGAGCACGGTTCTTTTTAGCATTCTCTTGTGAGCCCAGGGCAGATTGATGACACATTTCAACATGTATCCATCATGCTCTGTGCTTCCAGGAAATGGGTTGAAAGACACTGGGTGCCATTGAACCCAGAAGATGACTGGTGCTGTACCACTGAGTGGTAATTTTGTGGGGGGTAGATTCATGTTTACCTCCTCCAAAATACAGTTAAAGCCCAACTCCAGCCAAAACTTTTTCTTTCCAGTTTTGGATATATTGGGAAAAAGTTGTGAGAGTTATAAATTTGGGTTTTAAATGAACACAAAGGGGAATTCATGTTTGTTCTGTTTGTATTTGATACTCAACGCCGAGACAGGAATAGAGGAAAAATCGCTCTCATAGGGACTCGGGCAGCAATAAATCTTCCTCATGAGAATACATAGAGCAATAAAATCCTGACAAAAGCTGTAAACTTTCTTCAGTCTAATAGAAAGAGTTTTATTGCTGCTTGTAGCCCCATTGAGGGAATTTACCCTCACTTTCTGTTCTGTTTGTCACCTGTCAAAATTGTTAAAAGTAGTTAAATTCGTCATCACTTGCTATTCTGTCAAAGAGACAGGAAGTAAAGAGAAATCACCGAAACAGGGGCACAGACAGTAATACATTTGACATAGGTTCTTACCTCTCAGCACTCAATCCAAAAACAAAAACATATAGTTAGGCTTTAAAGAGACTCTGATGTTCTTATTAACCACTTCAAGTCCGGACACTTTTACCCCCTTCCTGTCCAGGCCAGCTTTCAGCGCTATCACACTTTGAAGGACAATTGCGCGGTCATGCAAGACTGTACCCATATGAATTTTTTAGCAATTTTTTGAGAAAGATAAAGCTTTATTTTGATGCATTTATTCACCACTGGGATTTTTTTGCTATATAAATGAAAAAGTCCAAAAAATTTTTTAAAAAAAAGCGTTTTTCTTATAACATTTTGCAAATAAATAATATGTCATCGTAAATCTTGGACAAAATTTATTCAGTTATCTTTTTAGTAAAAAAAGAACCAAATTAGTTTATACCCAAAAATTATAATAAAAAAAAATTTTTTTTTACATTTTTATTATTTTTTTTTTATATTATTTATGGGGTTTTTTTTACATACTGTCACCCTAGCAGTACAGTGTCACCATGGTGACACTGTACTACTTGTGGGGGTGATGAAGATTTTTTGTTTTTACACTGATTGCTTTACACCCATAAAAGCTGTAAAAACAATCATTTCTTCTTCTCTCTGGCTGCATTCTTGCAGCCATTGAGAAATACTACGTGAGCTGTGATTGGTCACAGCTTGTCACATGGTACAAGGCTGTTGTGAATAGTCTTGTACCATGTGACCTCTGTGATCATTCGCAGATTTCACACGTAGTAAGCAATGATGTCAGAAGTGAAATCTTGCTTACTACTCTGCAAGTGATCACATGATAGGGACCTTGCACAGAGGTTCGGTGTTCCACTGCTGTTTCACCGGATCGCTGTGCTGTGCGCTCCCAGGGAGCGCGCACAAGCACGTGGCTGGGAGGCCATTTATAAATGGTCACCTGACCCTGCACTGCCACCGTCTGGCCATTTATATACAACGGCCAGACGGGAGGTGGTTAAAGACCATAACACCTAAAAAAAGAAACCTTTTATACTCACCTGAGTAGTGGGATGGGAGAGCATGAATCAATGTTGACTGGCATTGGGCCATGTTTGACCTGCAGTTGGCCTCCCTCTGACCTACCTATAACCTGGTTCCCAAAGACCTGTATAGGAAAATAATAGGCTCTTATGCAAAGAAAAGCCCATGGACACTGACTGTGTGAAAGGTCTTCTTTTGTAGGTAGTATGCTTTGTTTTCATTATTTTTAAAGTCCCTCTCTTTTTTTTTGGGGGGGGGGGGAATGGATATGGTCCCGCAGTTTAAAGAAAAATACCTCTAGCTGCAAGATGTCCTTACTTTCCTGAGTTGAATGATTCTCAGCTGGTGGCAAGTCCAGAGCTGAGCTTTAAAGAAGCATCAGAGCTGCTGTAATGGAATTATTCTGCATGCCATACAGTGATTTACTAATTGGGAATCTTTTTGCTGGGCCCTGCCTGGAAAAATGCCTTTTTTTGCATTTTTCTCCAAATTAACCCAGAACAAACATGTTCAAATAACTTTACACTACATTACAAGTAATTACCAGTATGGTTAATAGATGTATATTGATATAACATTATTTAATCCCTATGTATTACACTTCTACTTATATGATGAAAAGCCACATGTCTCCTTGTGTGACCATTTTTGTAGGAGGGTAATTTATGAATCTCCAGTGTAAGAATTGGGGCACCACAGCATGGCATTTCCGATTGAAGTCAGCCAGATTGGTGTCACAAGGGAGCTACATAAATAACACATATGACGTTTAAAAGCGCTCCTAAAAAGGACAGTATCCCTGGAGTGCTAATTAAGCTGTCTAAATAGCTGTTAGACTGGCGACAGACCAAACATAGTAATTTCTAATGAAATAGTTTAACAAACATGGCATTACTCTGTGTAAATATTGCCTATCTTGTCCTTTTTCATCATTAATCATTATTCTTGTCAGACATGACAATAATTATAAGGAAGGAAACAACACGTCTTTAAAAAATCACATTCTGAAAAGAAAGAACTGTATAGACTTGGTCATACACACACAGTTTTCTTTCATTCAACCTGTGGATAGAACAAAAGAATCTTACAGATTCATCCATCCATGCTAAACAGTGCAGATAGATAAATCTTCCCTGATGACTATTGTATTCAGACATCTGGCACCCATTGGAATGTAGTAATGCCAGGGCAGATGTTACTGTTCAGCCCACTATTCTGCACCCAGCCCCTTCTGCAAAAGTCAATTGAACATACGGCTTTCGAAGGGATAGAAGGTGAAAGAGGCATTCTTGGATGGAAGTTCTGCTGAATTGGCTGAAATTCAAGCAGTATGTGGCAGCCGTAATTTTTTTTTTTACAATATGGTCTGTTTATAAACATTGTAAAAAGGAGAAGTGTTTGTGCTGCTCATCAACCAATCATATGTCTGCCTAAAATGTCTAACCTGTGCTGAAAAAAAACCCTACATTTTGGACACTTTCTTTTAATGTATTCAAAATGAATACAGTGTGTTAGTTTTGTGAGTATGCTGGGTGGTTGAACCACTGGCCAGTTCTTCATGTTTCTTAAAAAGGACCGTATTGAAAAATGCAAGATCTGCTCTTAGTAACAACAAAATGTACCTATAAAGTAAAAAGTTAGATACTGATACCTTACACTCATCTTTTGCATAGGACCCTTAGTGGGGGTGATGCCACCCTTTTTTCAGGGAGATCCTGGGCAATACAGAGCATCCAAAATTCCACAAAAAGAAGCTCTAGCAATGGACTAGGGTGTCTCCTTGCAAGATTTTCCTGCTCTGTATTTCTAAGGACTCTTCACAAAAGGACAGCAATGCTGCAGATGGAGGGATCTAACTTTTTCTTTTTGGAAAGTTACCTTTTGGAACTCCAAAAAAGACATTATAAGTGGACCTTGCATTGTACTGCAAGGTCCTCTTTAAAGCCTAAATCCAGCCATTTTTGTCATTTTAAGAGAAGAAGAGTTAAACCTTTTGACTGGCTTTTGTATCGATTTATATCCCTTACTTCCTGTCAACATGACCCCATTACCAGAAATAGAGAAGGTATGGACACCAAAAAAGCTTTACCAAACATTTTAATCCTTCCTAACTTTATTAATAATGTGTTTTTTTAGTCCCCACTGGTGAGATTTCTTATTTCTTCCTGTTCTAAGAGGAAGTTATGACAATATCAACTAAACAGTGACATAAATACCTAAAAGAGACTTCAACACTTCCCAATTCTTTCCAAAACTAAATATAACATTGTGGCAGGAGCTGGGCATTAAAATTCAGGTTGATCACATCTTTTAGGTCCACCCACCTCCATTTTTTTCAATGTGAGGAGTAAAACTCTTTTTCTGGAGTCGTTATAGATGTAGTAGAGCGGCAGCTGAAGAACAGCAGAAAAAAGGTATTGTCTTTAGAGTCTACAAGAGATAGAAAATGATATGGGTAATTCAGTCCATCATTATCTAAGCACAATGGGAATAAGGGAAAGCAAACGAAAAAATAAAAGTATTGCCCATAGCAACCAACCAAATTTGGCTTGTGGTATTCCTAGTGAAGGCTACAAAAATCAAGCATCTGTTGGGCTGATGGGAGCCACACCTTCTCCCAGGGCTTCAATCATATTTTCTATAGCTGCAGCTTGTACTCATTTCGTATTATTATACTGTGGATATTCTGCATCTGAACAGCAGCCTGAAATAGCAGGCTGTAAAATACCTATTGGACACTGTCAGTCCACCGGGTGTCTTCATCATTACATTCGATATTCTCACAAACATCCGTGCTATTATCAAGTGTTTCCAAGCATAAACATTTCTTGCTAAGGCAGATTGCCTCCTACAATGATTGCTTTGGAAAGAGGCACACAGCTGTGGAGGGAAACAAGCATGCAATAGCTACAGAACTCGCTCTCCTCTCAATTTAAAAAGGTTTTTATCTTTTTTCCTTGGTTCCACAAACACATAGTATATAATATGCCTTTTTCAGAAGAGCACAAGATGTGACACAGTGGAAGGTTTTCAATTTCGAAAGAAACTTTTTTTCACTAATACTTTACAATATTTATATACTTTATATATATACATTATATAAAGTTTAAGTTATAAAAAATGTACCATATTTCCTAATTATTATTATACAGGATTTATGTTGCACCAGAAGTTTGCGTAGCACTTTACAAAGTAAAGTGAGACAGTACAGTTACAATACAATTCAAGACACGAGGGTTATGAAGGCCCTGCTTACAAGAGCTTATAATCTAAAGGGAGAAGCAGATGACACAAAAGGTATCACTGTTGTGATGAGTTGATGTTGAAAGAAAAGTTCAGTTTTAAAGTAGAGGTGGTATAGACTTCACTGAAGAGTTGAGTTTTTAGGCATCATGTAAAGATGGACAGAATAGGAAATAGTCAGTAGATTGAGGTAGGGAGTTCAAGAGGATGGGAGAGGCTCCATGGAAGTCCTGGAGTGGAAAAGGTGGCAAGGGAGCTACAGAGCAGAAGGTCTTGGGAGTTGCAGAAAGGATGGAAGTTATTTGCAGAAAGGATTTGAGTGATAATTTGAGATTAGGTTGGTATTATAGCTTGGGACAGAGATGTGGATGGTTTTTGTGTTGTTGGTGGTATTTTGATTTTAACATGATGTGTGAATGAAAACCAGTGGAGGGACTGACAGCAGTCACTAAGTTGTTGGTAAGGTGTAGTTCACTACATATACTGTTAACATAAATATTCAATATATCAATATATTCCTGAATATTAAGTGTTGGTTTGCAGCATCTAAAGGGCAAATGGAACAGTTGTTGATTGTTCATTAATCACCCTGAAAGCCCAAATATGTTATTGTCAGGTGCAGCAGCACACCTAGTTTCTCTATTTGGAAGAACTTCTACTGGCTGACATTTCAGTATTTTTCAGGGTGAGGGTGGACTTGGAACAATGCATCTCTTTGAGCAAAGTGCAGTGCAAAATTAAAAACTTTTATACTTAGAAGTTTAGAATGTGCAAAACCACATTTTGACACCCATGTGTATAGGGCCTTTGTCTTATTTGAACTCCTCATCCAAGCCAGCAGTAGCTGACAACACTAGCAGAGGTCAGGCAGTTGTTGAAGATTTAAAGCAGAATAGAAGCCAAACAGCTAAATAAACAGTAAAAATGACTAGTTCTAAATTGTTTTACCTGTTAAAATGTACACTGCTGCCACACTGTACAGCAAGGAGGGTGCTATTATTTAAAGACCGCTGTTCTTACACAATTTCAATGTCTCTCCCCTACATTGAATTCCTTTAACATTCCCCCTTCCTGCTTACAATGCCTCAAACATATTTGGGAAGCACTGTACAAGGTTGCACAGGATTGGAGGCCCCTTTAAAGAAGGTCATACCAAGATGGTTGCTGGGCAGCATTTTGTTTTTCAGTTGGGTCGGTCAGGAAAGGAAGTTGAAGAGGAACTCCACTTGCCGGTGGAACAGATAAAAATCCATCATGTGGGTGACTGGAGCACAGGGCTGTTCACTCCTCTTTGGTGGCGTGCTGGAACTGTTCTCTGCTGGAGACAGAAGGGAAGGAGAAAATGTGCCCTTTCTTTGGGAGATGCATGTTATGTGGTGCATATTTGAACTGTGTGAGCACTGAATCTCTCTTTTAACAGTTGTGCTACTTTAGTAGAAACATTTTGCGGACTCTAAAGAAACAGCTTTGTCTAGTGTGGGTTTTTGTAACCTTAATTATACAAGAAAATAATTAACTTTCCTACAAAAACGAACATCAATGCTGTGTGGACATTGATTTACTAGCTTGGGGGAGTTCTCTTGATAAAAGAACTTGTGTATGGAGTCACAATTAAAGATTTTTTGGGGCTCTGTAGTGTTGTTGATTATTCTAACTCTTCCAAAGTGTTGCCCAGTGTTCCCAAGAGGGCAGT